GGCCGCGCGGCGGCTCCGCGGCGGCGGCGGCGGCTCCGTGCGCGGCACCTTGTTCTGCACCAACCTGCGCGTCGCCTTCGTGCCCGGCGCCCAGGTGAGCGGCGGCCCCGGCCCCGCGTCGCGGCCCCGCCGGTGCCACCGGACCCGGCCCCATCCGCATCCCCATTCCCGGTCCTGGCCCAGCCCCATCCCGGTCCCACCCCAATCCCAGCCCCATTCCCATCTTGGCCCTATCCCGGCCCTGGCCCAATCCTCTTCTCATCCTAGCCCTATCCCATCCACATCCTCTCACCATTCCCATCCCATCTCCGTTCGCATCCCATCCCATCCGTTCGCATCCCATCCCATCCRTTCTCCATCCCATCTCTGTTCCCATTCCCATCCCTATCCATTCTCCATGCCATCTCCTTTCCCATCCCCATCCTATCCCATCTCTGTTCCCATCCCCATCCCTATCCATTCTCCATCCCATCTCCATCCCATCCCCATCCTATGCCATCTCCATTCCCATCTCCATTCCCATTCCATCCCATCTCCATTCCCATCCCATCCCCATCCCATCTCCATTCCCACCCAGCCCCATTCTCCCAGCCCCATCCCATTGCCGTTCCCCCAGGATGCCCCTTGCTGCACAGGGCAGCCGCTGTCGGGTCCCGCACCCCGTCCCTGCTGCCCGTCCCGGGGGCCCGGGCGGCTCTGAGCCCCCCGTGTCCCCGCAGGCTCCCGGTGCGCGGGCCCTCGTGCCCAGCGACAGCGACGTGGCTCTGCGCTGCATCCGCAAGCTGGTCGCAGGTAAAGGCTGCGCCACGAGCCGGGCAGGTCTCAGCGCACACGGAGCAGCGTCCCCAGCTGCCACCCGCCGCCGTGTCCCCCACCGCAGCCTGCAGCTTCGCCAAGCCCAAGGTGCTGACGGCCGCCTCCAGCCTCAAGTTCATCCCCGAGGAATTGGCCGTTCACTGCCGGGATTTCCGCCTGCTCCGCTTCCACTTCCAYGAGAGTGGCCTGCAGCCCCAGGCCTTCCGCGTGAGTCCCGGCGGGGGGGGGGGGATCTGGGGGAGTGCTCCCGGCATTCCCGCCTCCCGCTGCTCTCCTACAGGTGGCCATGGCCATCGCCCAGGCGCGCGAGGCGGCCACCTGGCCAGGGCACGCGGGTGAGTGACACGGGGACAGAGGGGACACGGGGGACCCGTCCTGCCCAGGGCTGAGCCGGGCTCTGCAGACACTGTGCTCCAAGGGGAGGAGGAGGAGGAGGAAGATGGTGAGGAAGAGGAGGAGGAGGAAGAGGAGGACGAGGAGGAGGAGGAAGGCCCCACGCCGCTTTTCGAGAGCCTCCACGACTGGGAGAAGGAGCTGAAGCGGCAGGGAGCCGTGGGCTGGCGCGTGAGCGCTGTCAACGAGCGCTTCGACATGGCCACGAGGTACCAYGTGCCCGGACACCGGGGCCCCTGCAAGTGCCCGTGCTGCGACCATCAGGGCTGGGATGGAGGGAAGCTCCGTCCTGGGACAAAAACCATCAGTGAGCAGGGAGGGAGAGGCTGGGAATGGCCTTGATTTCCCTGGGGGCTGAAGCGGGGCCAGGGGACAAAGTCCCCCGGTGGGGGTGACCTGTCCGGGGTGCCCGCCCCACTCCTGCCTCTGCTGCAGCCTCCCCCGGTACCTGTGGGTGCCYGGCCGGCTCCTGGACAAGGATCTCAAGCGGGCGTTCGCGCACTTCGAGGAGCGGCGCGTGCCCGTGAGTGCGGGGCCCGACCGCCCTGCGGTGGGGACACCGGGGACGGGGGTGTCACCGCGTCTCGCCCCGGCAGCGCCTCTGCTGGCACCACCCAGGCGGCAGCGACCTGCTGCGAACCGCCGGCTTCCACGCGGCCTCGGAGCCGCAGCGCGAGGACGTGCGGTGAGAGACGCCCGACGTCGGAGCGGCGCTGCGGGGCCGCGCGCGGCGCTGCCGCGGGGACCCGTCGCCAGCCGCGGCTCCGTCCCGCAGGTGCCTGGAGGCTCTGCTGCGCGGCGGCCACGGGCAGTGCGTGCTGGTGGCGCCGGGCGAGCTGCCCAGCCTGGCCGAGCTGCAGCTCTCCTACGGGAAGCTGCGGGCGCTCTGCCTGCCCGGTGAGCGAGACGGGGCCGGGGGCGCCCGCGCGGCCGCCCGCRCCCCCGCGGACCTGTGTCCCCCCCGCCGCCCCTGCAGACTCCCCSGTGCCCGATGACAAGTGGCTGTCTGCGCTGGAGGGCACCCGCTGGCTGGACCACGTGCGGTGAGATGGGGAGAAAACAGGGAGAATCAGCGCCGGGAGCCGGGCGGGAGCGGGCGCCTCGGCACCGGCTCGGTCCCCGGCACGGCCGTGCTGCCCGCAGGGCCTGCGTGCGCAAGGCGAGCGAGGTGGCCTCGCTGCTGGCCGCGAGACGCTGCTCCGTCGTGCTGCAAGGTGACGCTCGTGGCCGCTCGCGGCGGCGGCGCCGGCCCCGCCGGGYGCCCCCGACGCCCCCCGCGCCGCCCCGCAGAGCCCCACGACCGCGACTTCAACTGCCTGCTGGCCTCGCTGGCGCAGCTGCTGGCCGACCCGCACGCCCGCACCCTGCCCGGCTTCCAGAGCCTCGTGCAGAGGGAGTGGGTGGCCGCCGGGCACCCGTTCGCCCGGCGCCTGGGCCTGGGGCGCCCCAGCCCGCGGGACGAGGTGAGAGCCGGCGGGACAGGGTGTGGGTGACATCCGGGGACACCCGCGCGCCTTTGTGCCCCGCAGGCGCCCGTTTTCCTGCTTTTCCTGGATTGCACGTGGCAGCTGGTGCGGCAGTTCCCCGGCTGCTTCGGCTTCACCGAGAGCTACCTGCTGGCGCTGCACGACAGCAGCTTCGTGCCCTACTTCAGCACCTTCCTCTTCAACTGCCAGTGGCAGCGGGGACGCAACAGCCGGGTGAGCGGCGGGGGGTCGTGCAGGACGCCTGGGCCCCACCGCATCCCGCCTGAGCCGGGTGCTGTCCCGCAGCCGCCGGGCTCCGCGCAGAGCTACACGCCGGTGAGCGGCTGGCGGGAGCCGGTGGCGGCCGGGGGGGCGCAGCGGGGCGGTTCTCCCCCCGGCCGCCGCCGCCGGCTGCTCTCCGTGTGGGATTGGAGGCTGCGCTACAGCCGGCAGCAGCGCTCCCGCTTCCGGAACCCCGCGGGACCCCGCGCCGGCCCGGCCGCCTCCAGCCCCGACGGCCCCTGGCCCCTCAGTGCCGCCGTGAGTCGGGATGCGCTCGGGGGCGGCGGAGCTGGGAAGGGGCCGGGGGTCCCCGTGCCAGGCAGTCCCCGTGCTGGGGGGTCCTACTACAGGACAATCCCAGGACAGGGTCCCGGAGCGGGGGGATCACAGTGGTCCCAGTGCCAGGGGGATCCCAATTCCCCTGTGCTGGCAGTGGGGGGTCCCATTGCTGGGGGTGTCCCGGTGCCAGGGGGTGTCACTGTGGGGAGATCCTGCAGCACCCGGGTGCCCCCCAACCCCCAGCGCATTAACCCCCTGCCGCCCGCCCGGCCCGCTCCCCAACTCCCCTTTCCCCCTTCCCGCTCCCGCAGGCGGAGGCGGCCGGGGCCGTGTGGCTGCTGGCCAAGGGCTCCCTGTGGCCGCAGCCGCAGCCCTTCCCCTGGCGCGGGGGCCCC